TGGATCCTCAGGACTAGGACCATTGACAGCTTTAGTATGATTTCCTAACTAGAGAAACCTTTAAAGGATTAATAAGAGTAGACGACAAGAAATCAGCAAAGACTCTTCTTTTTACTTTCAATAATTAATTGCAATGCTGGGGCTCTGACTGAGCCTTCAGAGAGTGATTTCTGCTGCTACTAACTATTGCATCCTACTAGTGGAGAAATTAGATTAAAAAAATGCATTTCCCCCTAAAGATACATGTGGAGGTACAGGAGAAATGTACAAGAGGGAAATGTATAAACAAATAATTATTCCTCATTTCATAGAGCCAAACATGATTTTCATCATGACAATACTTGAATTATTTTAACAAATGTTTAAGTGAATTTTTCTTTTTGTTTAGTTTTATATTTATCTTCCAAGGTCATTTTAGAACAAGAGCAAAATAACTGAAACAAATCAAAGATCAGCCCCTTATTTCTTTTACCTAGAAAGTTTTCTGCATAGAATGCAACAAAGTTAACATCTCTGGGGAAAACTAATCAGAAGCTCAGCTGTTGAGTGAGACAGTCATTAAGGAAAGCAGTCCCAGAAATGACAGAGGTCAGCCAATCAGCAATGATTTTCCAATGAAGCAGAGCTGAGAAGCAGGCCAAGAAAATGTGGGGAGAGTCTATTGAACAGCCCCTGTCTTAATTGCTACGAGGAGTTCCCGGGAGAACCTAAGGGTTTGCTTATCTCCATAGACTCAAGTCATCGAAGGGACATCTTCAGATGGGACCATTTCTGACAACTTCAGCCTGATGACAGCCCCAAATGAAAGTGGTACTGGAGGCTCAAGTAAAACACAAGGAGACAACTAAAATATAGGGTACTTAGGCACCTGTCTCCTAAGAAAGCTCCCTTTTTTCCATTTTTGTCAGTTACAGCCTTATTTTTGCATCAGAGGGTATGATGGAAGCAAATATTAGGACTTGTTGGGAACATCTGGCTAAACGCAGCTGCAGAAAATGAGCCTCAAGATCAGGAAAAGCAATGATTGACAGTGAAATCCATCGGCTTATGTGGGGCCAGCCAAGAGAAAAGGTGAAGCTTCCTTTCTGGATATGTTCAACACAGGACAGAGCATACCCAGGAGATGGCTCCTAGCAGCATACACGTCAGGGGACCCAAGAACACAGCGTAATAGACCTTTTCCAAACTCTGATTTCTTCATTTTATTCCTTAAGGACCTCCTCTCACCCACTATAATTAGCAAAATGGGCAATTACAGTTAGATAATTATTTCCATAGACCTATCTGCCTTGTGTTTCCTGAAGAATGTAAATACTATGAAGCAGAGCTGGCCCTGCATAGCTCCTGTCTGTTCCTGACCAATTTAAAGCTGGGGAAGAATGGGAAGTCAGTCAGATGTCATCCTGTTTGTTTGCCTTCAGCCCTGTCCTCAGTCAGCATGGAGGGGGCATCGAATGGACTGGTTACAGTTTCCCTTTCCGTTCCAATTCCTAAGGTTCTTTTTTTTTTTCACCAACTTTAAATGGGGGCAAAAAAAAAAAGACTAAGGAAAGAAAACATGTCATTTGCCCAGCCAGGAGCAAGTGTGTGAGAAACAGGATACAGTTACTCCAGAGTTTTTACAGGAAACACTGATTGCCCACAATCTTTACATTGTTGCTCCCAGAAAAGAAAGTGGGATGAGAAAGAGACCAGTTTCCCAAGGTGAAGGAGGCTATTTTCCTCATCAAAGCTTTGTTTCAGGGAGAGCACAGGCAAGAGGACATAGACCAGTCCTGAGACCCACTCAATACATGGACTCACACTGAAATTTGGTTCAAGAGGAAATCTCTACTGTAGAGGAAGGGAGGCAGGCTTCAGCAAATTAGAGTCCACACACTAGGGAGACTCCAGAAATGAACTCATGAAATCTGTGAAGGCAGAATTGAACTGAGAAATTAAAGGAGGGAAATCGTTGATATTAATGTGGCCAAAAGAATTCCACAAACACTCAAGAGCTTTATAAACACCCCATTTGTCCCCAAGAAAGGAGCAGGATTTCCAGTTCTAAAATGTTATGGTTCTATGAAAGACCTTAAAGCTAATAGGGTTATAGCTCTCAAGTTAAAGGGACTTCAGAAGCCCTGTAGTCTGGTCCCCCTCATTTTTCCTATGGATGAGGAAACTGAAGCCTGAATGGATTAAAAGACTTCACAAAGTAGACTTAATTTTTACACACACACACACACACACACACACACACACACACACACACACATATGTGTGTGTGAATGTGTGTGTGTGTGTGTGTGTGTGTGTGTGTGTGTGTGTATAAACACACATATATTTGTTTAGCCATCTCTAGGGCAGAGGGGGAGAAAAAAAGAAATTTACATGATAATTTTGTTGTGTGTTTGAAAGGAATAGCAAGTTGTGCATAGTAGATTTGCAGTTTCATGTACAATCATCTTTTTTATTGCACTATGTTATGGAAATGTTTGTTTTATTCCATAAATTAAGAATAAACACACAGAACTAGAAGGGACTCCAGTGCCCATCTAATTAAATCTCTTTATTTTATAATTAGGAAAGAGAGGCCCAAAGAGGCTGAGTAACTTGCCTTAAGTCACCAAGATAAAAGGTCAAAGGTAAGATAGAAGCCAAAGTCCTCTGATCAGAACCTGAGATCTCTACTCTGTACCACAGTGCTTCTCTGTTAAGTAAAACAAGGATTCCTAGCTTTTTTTTTTTAATCATAGAACCCTATGGCATTCTGGTGAAGCCTCTGGGTCCCTTTTCACAGTCAAGGTGAATTATCTTCATTCATAATTGAAAGAAATGCTAAATTTCAATTAGAGACTAGTGAAAATAAAGACATAATTTTTCCCTGTCCAAGTTCACACACTCCCTGAAACTGATTCACAGACTTTTTAAAGGTCCATGGACAGACACTAGGTTGAGGACCCTTTATGTAGAGGAAAATTCAGTGTAATGAAATAGTAGCCAGGGTAGTCTGGTGACCTTTTTTCTAATCTCAGGTTTGCCACTTATTATGTGACTAAGAAGTCATTCCCCTACCCTGCCAGATCTCAGTTTCTTTATCTGTCAAATGAGGGAGTTCAACTAAATGATCTCTAAGAATCCTTCCAAACCTAACATTAGATAATTTCATGATTCTAATCCAACCCACATCCCTATTTCACAGGTGAGAAAACTCAAGATCAGAAAAGTTAAGTAACTTACCCAAGGCCACCCAGCTAGTTAGGGCAGAGCTGGATGTAGAACCCAGGCCTCTGTAACCCCAGGCTGGAGTTGTCTTTCACCATACCATATTTCTCAGCATGGCAATTAAGGAAATGTTGGGCACCAAGTTTTATAAAATAAAAAACCATCTCATAGCTCTCTGAAATGGCATGAAAATCTATTGAACTTTTTATTTGTTTCAAACACATGTATTATGCAGAGAGATTCCTCATATATTAAGATTCTAACAAAGAAATGTGGTTGGATATTTCACTTATGGAGGAGACACGATTGACCCCTCTCTGTATTAAAGAAGGACTGTGTTTCAAGTTGCTCAGTAGTGGTGGCAACTTCATATTCTCTCACCAATTACCTCTTGTGACCAGTTGACACTATCAGGGTTATGGCTGCCCTTTGTAACCTTAACAAGTCAAAACCAACTTGATCCAATCAGAAATCAAACCATCAACCTTGGTCTCATTAACCACACAATTCAAACTAAGCCAAGTGACCGTAACACCTATAAAATAAACTTTATAAAGTAAAATGCATGTGGGCATTTTTTAATCTTAATCTTTTGTTTCCTTAGTGTAGGGACAATTTGCAGATTTAGAGTAACTGTCTGAGGCACTGAGTGATCAAATGACTTGATCAGAGTCACACAGGTAGGATAAGTCAGAGGCAAGATTTGAACTAGGTCTTCCTAACTCCAAAGCCAGCCCTTTTATCCACTCTTGCATCTAGACATTGTTGGTCAAAAGAAGTGGCTTCAGAAACCCTCATTGACTTAACAAATGTTGTCTATATGTTTTTCAAATAAAGAAAAAAGAACTTTTCTTTGCTGGAACAATGTTTTTGTCTTCCTTAGGAGTGAGGATTAGGTGAGAAGGGATTCCACCCATTTGCCATGACATGTGAAGTTCCAGGAGGAAAATTACATATGATTTCATCCTTCTGTCTTAACAACACACTTCTCTTTTTTGGCCTTTAAATGTAATTGAGACAAGGGCACTATGGACAGTCAGATCAGGGACATCAGTTCCCTGGGATATAGTTTCATTTAACAAAGGTGTTGAATCATAGAAAAGTACAGCTGGAAGAGACCTTAGATATCATTTTATCTGACATCCTCATTTTGGAGATAAGGAAACTGGTCCCAAGGGAACTAAGCAGTGGAGTATCATAGAAAAAAAATTGATTTGTATGGAACCTCAAAAGTTATCTAATCCAATCCTTTTACTTGACAGATGAGAGAACTGAGGCTCAGAGAAGTTAAGCAATTTGTCCAAGATCACAAAGGTAATGAATGGTCCATGAAGGATTTGAACCTAAGTCCTATGACTGCAAATCTAACATAGTTTTCTCTGGACTGTGCTACCCTCCAAGGCCACCCAGCTGCTAGTGCCAAGATAAGACTTCAACTCTGATCTCTTAATTCCTAGTCTAGTATTCTTCCCAATGGACAGCATATTGCCCTTCTTTCAATAGATTCTCAATATAGAAGTAGATTTTCTAAACAAAAATTGTAAGATACACAAGTTGATTTTAAAAAATAAAATAAACCAATATAATAAAAAGGTATTTAACTAGTCATTAATGAAGCACCACATTTTTAAAAAAAAAGCAAAGTATTAATTAAAATAGTGACAAAGAGAATATGAGAATGAATCAAAACATATTCTTTATGACCAAATTGATTCGCCAAGAGTGCAAGTATAGTTTAATATTAGAAAAATAATTAACATAATAAATCACATCAGTAAGTAAATGTATGATTATATTATTTGATGCAGATAAAGCTTTTGACAAAATAGTATGCAAGTTCATGTTCAAAACATTAAAAACCATAAGACTGGATGGTTTTTTCCTTGATATGATAAAAACATTTATCTAAATCCAATAGCTGATGGTATATATAATGAAGAAATATTAGATGCTTTCCCACTAAGAACAGAGGAAAAGCAACACCACCTAGTTTCATCCTTATTATTTAACATGGTATTTTAAATACTAACTACAGCAATAAGACAAAAAAGAAATTAAAGTAATAAGCATTAACAAAGAAAAGGTCAAATATCTCTATTTGCAAATGGTATGATAATTAAGAAAATGCAAAAGACTAAAAAAATGAGATAATATATCAGTAGGTATAAGATAAGCCCACAAAAACTATCTCATTTCTATATTGCTAACAAAAATTAAGGGCCTATAACATGCATTAGAAATTTCAAACCTTGTGCCTCAAGCCCCACCATCTTGGAATAAATGTTAGGAGTTAGAACTATGTCAGTTGTCCATCACTATATTTGACTAGTTCAACTACACAGTGTCTTCCACTTATGATAATGTCTTTCACTTATGATGAGTCTTTCACTCCCATGTCTTCTTGTCTTTTGTTCATGCTTTGCCACCTCAGGTCACTCTCGCTGTGGGTGGAAGAAGGAGAATTTAGTAGAAAGAGTGCTGGTTTTGTCATCAGAAGACTTGCATTCAAATCTTAGCCCTTCTACTTATTTTCTTTATGAGCTTGGGCAAGTCACTTAACCAATCTGGGCCTGTTTCCTCATTGGTTAAAATAAAAAGGTTGCACTAGATGGCATGTAAAGTCCCCTCCAGCTTGAGAACTTTGGACCTATGATTTGCTTCCACTGCTCCAATGCTTATGCTGGTGGAAAACACTGGGAGAAACCAAGCTGATCACAAATATATATGATTTTACCTCAACTTGCATCACAACATTTTTACTCTTTTCTGAATGACTTTCTGTCATCCTTCCCATGACGGTTATTTTAAATCTTCTTCCATCTCTTCAAAGCTCTTCTCCCTCCTTTCTCTCAGAGGACAACCTTACTTCCAGCTTTACTAAGAAAACTAACATCACCTGTCAGTCACTCCCTCCTTTCCCCTCCTCTGTACTTCAATACCCCTTTATGCCTTCACTTGTGTTTCCTACAGTCATCTGCTTTGTGAAGGCTGACCCTTTTATTTGTACTATTTCCTATGGGAACTTGCCCCAGAAATCCTTCGATCCTTCTTTAATCTTAAATCTTTCCCTTTCTTTACTAGCTCTTCTGCTGTCTATAAACATAACCAAGTTTCCCCCTTTCTTTAGCCCAGAAAAGCCCCTTTTATTGACTCTACCATTCCCTCAAACTTCCATCCTGTATTTCACTTTCCTTTCATTGCAAACTACTAGGATGACTTGTCTAATCTGGTTTCCTGCACTATCCTGCCATCCATTCACTTCTCAGCTGCAATTTGTCTTCAGAGCCAGTCACCCTACTCAAATGGCTCTTTACAGGGTTACTAAGATTTATGGCTAAATCCCAGGGGTTTTTCTCAGTCTTCATTCTACTTAATATCTCTCTCAGGCTTTTGACACTGTTGACCACCTCTCTTCCTATGAATACTTTCTTCCCTCAGTCCTGAGGTACAACTCTTTCTTGGTTCTCCTCCTACCTAACTGGTTTCTTTTTTCTGATTTCCTTTGCTGACTCATTATCCATCTTTTACTAATTAAATATGGATGTCAAAGCCCTATCATGCATTCTCTTCAATTCTTATTTTACAATGTCTTTGTTGGTAAGTTCATCAGTTACCACAGGATGAGTCATCATCATCACCACCATCACCACCATCATCATCATCATCATCTAATTGCAGCTAATATTTATGTAGTACTTACTATGTGCCAGGCTCTGTGCTAAGAGTTTTACAATTATTATCTTATTTGAGCCTCACAACAATCCTGGGAGGTAGATGCTATTATTGTTCTCATTTTACAGACAAGGAAACTGAGGTAAACAGAAATTAAGTGACTTGCCCAGGCTCACACAGCTAGGAAATATGTGGTCATATTTGAACTGTATCATTATTATTTCAAAAAGTTTTTGGCCAACAAAAAGCAATATTGAACTGAACTTAGAATGTTATAACAAGATAAATGCCACTTCAAATATTGGCCACAAAAAAATATTTGGGAATTAAGGTGTCTTTAATTAAGAGAAACCATAAAAAACATTTTATGCAACAAGAGAAACTAAATAATTAGAAACATATTTGATGTTAATAGTTGCATTAACTAAAATAGTAAAGACAATAGTACTCATATTAGTCTACAAATTTAACATCAATCAACCAAAATACCAATGGGACATTTTCAAAATTAGATTAAAAAAATAACAGAATTCCATAGAACAAAAAAGTCAAGAATACTAAGGAGAAATGTGGGAAAAAAAAACAAAGGAGAAAAGAGGACTTGCCTTGTTATATCTCAAGTTATACTCTATAAAAATGTAATTATTAAGATTATCTGATATTGTATAAGAGAAAAAGAGGCAAGAGGAATAGGCTAGATAACTATACTCTAAAACCAAATGCATATTGTAAATGTATATTTAATAAATTCAAGCCCACAAAACATGGGGGAAATAATTCATTATTCAGTAAAGACTAATGGAACGGGGGCGGATAGGTGGTGCAGGGGACAGAGCACTGACCCTGGAGTCAGGAGGATCTGAGTTCAAATCCGGTCTCAGACACATAACACTCACTAGCTATGTGACTCTGGGCAAGTCGCTTAATCCCAAGTGCTTCATATAAAAAAAAAAATTAATTGGGATAATTAGCTGTTTGCCCCTCTGCTCCATGAAAGAGAAATACACTGATGTCTTACATAATACAGCAAACTCCAAATGAGTAAAAAAAATCCAAATATTTTACAAAAATCATTAAAAATTAAATAATAATGAAATGTCATATATTTCAAAAGTGGGTAAAGAGAAACCTTTGTTGTATCTCCCATGAGAATGTCAACTGCTTGGGAGCAAGGACTGTTTTTAATTTTTGTCTTTGTATCCTCAGGTCCTAGTATTTTACTTTGAACATAAAAGGTACTTCATAAATGTTAGTTGTTCTTATTAACAATCTATGACTTAGAAAAATTGAAACAAAAAGGTGAACCTGATAATACAAAAAATAAAATATGTTAAGCAATATAAAGTAATATAATCTAGAATAAAATGGAAAGAAACAACATCCTAGGAAAATCTTTGAAATGAACATTTCTATTAACTTCTAATAAAATATCCAAAATCAATTATTTATATAAATTAATATTAATAACAATAACACATCTCCAATAGATATGTCAAAGGATGTGAATAGGCAGTTCTCAAAAAAAGAAAAACTGTCAGAAACTGCATGAGAAAGTATTCAAACTCTGTTAATCAGATAAATGGACAGATAAAGAAAACTTTGTGACATCATTTTATGCTTATTAAAATAGCAAACAGAATAAAAAGTGGACAAATTCAGTACTATGTTGGCTATAGATAAAAAGGCAAACTAGTTAAATTGGTCAGATGAAGAATTGAGTCAATATTTTTGTGAGGCAATTGCAACTATATGATGAGTTACCAAAAAATGTTAATATTCATTTATCTCATGCTTCCATGACTAGGATTAAACTCTACCAGGGTTATTGACCGGGGAAAATATAGCTAAATCAACTATGTGTTTATGAACACATAACTGGGGATTGGCAAAGCAAATTATGTTTTGATGTGTATTAATTTCAACTCTGAAATGACAAGCTCTTTAAGTTCAAAAAATGGGAAAACCCTACTTCTTGAGCCCCCATCCAGTGTTCCCTCTCAATAAATGGGGACAGAACCATAAATCAAATAGCAAAGTATTTAATTAGAACAGAATAGCAAAAAAAATAACAGAAAATCATGCAGAAAGATCATTCTCAGTCTCCATATGTAAATGAGTATGACCTCTCAGATTCATAGGCAGATGGGACAGGAATCATTAACAAAAGAGACTTATTCTTTAAGATGGGAAGTGTTTGGGGTTTTGGTGGTTGATGCCTTTCATTGTACATAGGAAAACATCTACCTATGTTCTCCTTTTTCCGTCTCCTGGCAACAGGCTATGCTTTGATTCTATCATTGGCTCCAACTCCAGTTAATCTTTGGGATACTCGTAGAGTTCTCCTCCCCCATTTCTGCTACTAATACACTCTGCCTCTTCACGTAACAATTCTGACCTCTCTCCCTGTTCTTGTCTTCCAAAGCTACTGTTGTTTGTTTTGTTTTGTTTTGTGAGACGATTGGGGTTAAGTGACTTGCCCAGAGTCACATAGCTAGGAAGTGTTATATGTCTGAGGCCGGGTTTGAACTCAGGTTCTCTTGACTCCAAGACCAGTGCTCTATCCACTACACCACCTAGCTGCTCCCAAAGCTAGTGTTAGAGGCCTGCTACAATGGTGCTGCTACTTGTGGAAAATCTCTCCCTGCTGCTTTTGGCAGTACCACAGCTTTTTCAGACTGAGATGTCATGAAGCAATGTTCCTCGGGACTTGTCAATGTACTCTCAACTCTATTGTTAATCAGCCTCACAGCTTATCTGCATTGTAATGGCATATATTCAGAGCTAGAAGAGACCTCAAAGATCACCTAATCCAACTCTGTTATTTTGAAAGATGAGAAAAATGGGGCCCCAGGGAAATGAAGTGATTTGCCAAGGTAAAGAAAGTGGTAAGTAACAGAGTCATTTGAATCCGGTTCTTTGACTTCAAATACAGTGTTCTTTCCTCTAGACCAGTAGCATCAAATTCCAATAGAAACAAAGGCCACTAAGCCACCATATAGATACCTACAGGTGCATAATGACTCAGAAAACCACATATTAGCATTATCTCTATTTCACTGCATTATTAATTTTAAGTATTTCCCAATTATATTTTAATCTGGTTGTGGTGGCACTCAAGAGTATCATGGACCACATGCCATCCAAAGCCTTGTATTGGCACCCCTACTCTAAACCATGCAACTATGCTGGAATATTTTGTGCCATGAGAAGTGATGACCATGAAGAATTTCACAGATATATGAAGTCATATCAAGTTACACAGAACAAAAACTGACTGCAACTTTGTAAGTGAAGGCAATTGCAATAGCAACAACAAACCCTGGTGATATACACATAAATATAGTAGCTTAGAAAAGATCACAAAAAGGTTTGATTTTATTTATTTACAAAATAAAAATTATTTTATTCAAAGAGAATGATTTTTGTTCTCACTTTGCTAAAATTATTGTTATTGTATGCATCTTTTGTTTTGTTGTGGTTTTTTTCCTCAATGATACACAAGTAAAAAATTTGTGATCAGATCTGCAATTACATTTGTTTTGTTTTAATCTGGCTTTGCTTTTCTTCTTTTCTTTTGCTTTTGGTGATATCATTAAATGACTGTTGATACAATTTAAAATAAAATTTATTTGGGGGGAAAAAAAGAGACTCTTGAGGAAGGAAGGAGAGGCAGCATGGCATCACAGAGGAAGTGCCAGACTGGGAATCAGGAAGCTCTAGGTTTGATTTCAACTTCCACTGCAAAATGTGACCAGGGTAAGACACCTAC